AAATCGGTCAGTCAGTCAGTCTATGATTTATACAAGGTGACTAAAATATTTAAAAACAACGTATACCTAATTGAAAAAGATATATATATATATATATATATATATAAATGTATATTACATTAAAGTGGAGAAGCACTTGCGAAGCTTAGTAGTTCACCATCTGACGAAGGAATAGGATTACAAGGATCTATGACAGTCTTTTGTTGAAAGATTCTTATTGTTGTACAGGGAATGATCGTAGATCTCTACTGGAGAGGAACTGACAATCTGTGTTACGATTAGATTTGAAATCAGTTATCGTTGATAGTGATAATAATGATGATAATAATAGTGATATGTATGTCAAACATACACAGGATAATGACAACACCAACAATAGGGAATATAAGTCATCAGTATTGCTTCTATACAAAGAAGGATCCTCGGAAACCTTAAGGAGAATTCTTAACAAGGCAGTAATAAACGTGGCTGGCGTTCAATCACCCCCAAACTAAATTAGAAAACAAGCTTTGTCGGTTAAAGGGTCATGTGGAGTCTTTAAAACAAAACAATTTAGTTCATCTAATACCCTTCTGGAATGATTATCAGGTTAAATACACAGGTCAAAGTAGTAGAACAGGGGTATTCAAACTAGCGAAGAATGAAAACCTAGCAAAATCTGGATAGTAAAATTGGAGGATAGTTCAGCTATAGCAAGCACTACATGCAATTACACACAACCATAAAATAGGATGGGACAAGATGACAGTTTTAAAATCGAATGTCACAGGGTGAATGGAGGGAGAGATTGATAGCAGAAGCTTTGTTAATCGAATCAACTGCAAACACGTGTAATAGGAATGATTCAACACCTGTCCATCCGGACATCTGTAAAATTCTACTACCCGAACGACGACAAATAGGAGAGAAGAAAGAAAACTATAAAATTCAAGTTCCGACGTCGTGTGATCATAATTGATGAAATGATTATGAACAATACTAGATTGTGTTCAAAACTGTGTCATCCAGTAAACAATAATACTGCTTCACAGTCTGTGTGATATATCTATCTAATAAACAAACTAATATAGAATCAGTTATCGTTGATGTGAACATGCACACCCATATACACCCAGCTTCTTTTTCATGCTTTTTCACTCACAGGTTTGGGTTGCTAGCCTCACACACTCAACCTGTCTCTCTATTCCTACGAACTAACCACCGGTTAAGCAGTCAGGTTTAGGAGTGAGGCGTCGGCCAGGCGTCGAAACTGAGCTTGAAGAGGCTATTCCACTCCAAAACCGCCAAAGCACTGCATATATGTATTGGAAATTGAGACTAACAAACTTGTCTGTAATCCAAGTTAACTAGCCTTCATTCATTCCTTCATACTGATGACATAACTTAACTAGCGGTTTATCTACACACACACACACACACATATATCAGTTTGTCGGCAATGTTATAATTCATTTAGGAATAGGTTAATTTCTTTCACAACTGTCTATATTATTAATAAGAGGTACTCCTACAACATAGGTAAGTGAAAGCGTGACTGTGACAAGTCATCGTCACCATTATCACATCAAGACGAATGATAAAGTGGTTGTTAGAAGAGAGCAAAAGTCAAACAAAAAGAAATAAGAGAGTGAAAAAAATTCAACGAGAATAACAGTGAAAACAACAAAAGGCGAGGACAGAAAGAAAAATCACAGTATGACAACCAATATATTTATATATGATTAATGAATATATATATATATATATATATATATATAATATCTTTCATTTATAATTCGGAAGGTCTTCTGTCTTTTTCTTTATCAAGTTAAAAAGAATACACATAATATTATGTCACCGTTTAATGAACAATGTACTACTACTGCTACCTACTACTTACTACTACTGTTGATGTTAGTAGCAGTAGTATTAGTGATGAATGCATTTCAGTGGGAAGTGGAATTGCACTCAAACCACTACCATAACAAAAAAAGTCAACACACCTACTCATGAAACACTTTACCTTACAGCACCATTGCTCCGCCTAGGCAACTGCACAGTCTTTATTAGTCTTTGTATAGCTGATATCCCGATGCATGAAAAACCTGTTTTCTGTAACTGACTTTTATTTCATCCTAGTTTGGGACTCATCGGAAGTGGGTGTCTAGCGCCACAGTTCGAGCCCGGGGCCTTTTGTTTGGAAGTTATGCTAGTAGACTATTCACCCATTGAAACCCAAATCAATGGCTAGCGCATGAATTATAACCCCTAAAAATTCGTGATTTTAGCGCGACTGCCAGCAGCCAATGTTATATGTCTGGTGAGAACTTGTCCTCACTCCCAACTCGATGGACCATACTGGTCACCGGAACTCCAGACAACTTGATTCTTTAGCCCTAGATTAACTTTTAAGAGTTAGTTTGTAGGGGTTTGTTTAGTTTTTGAAGTTTGACCACGGATTGATATGATTTAAAGGAATCATTGAAAACCAGTACTGGTGTACTGGATAGCTAGTTGTTTCGTCCTAGTTTGGGACTCATAGACAGCACACACCCACCAGTCAGGGTCCGAAATGGTAAAAATTGGAATTCATGGACCGTCAAATCGGATCCCAGTGCCTTGTAACTGCCTTCTACGTAAACAACTGTATGTTCTACCCTCCCCACCACTACTACACTTGATTAAGTAATTCCTCAAAAGTGCCTGCTGGCGCAAATGGACATATAAACGTCAGTACCACAACTCGAATATAGAGAAAGAAGTGGTTTTGAGATACAATACTGTGTGTTTTTCCCACGCATCGATCATTTGTTAATGAATGACTGAATGACGTAAGAGAGGGAGAGAGAGCGAGAGAAGGAGAGGGAGGGAAATCAACATCTACAATAACAATAGCCAGGAGAATAACGCAGAAACAAAGTTAATCATCATTATTATAATAAAGACATAAACTATAATAGACAACAACAGGATAGCGTTTTCTAAAAAAAAGCAAACAACAAAAGTTTCCATTTTTTTTGTTTTGCCTCCTTATTCTTCCTTTTCTTCTTCTATTTCTTTTGATTGGTTTTATTTCAAAAAGAAAAGTATTTATACATATAGATTTATATGCATAATTAAAGGATAAATACGTATTATAATAATGAGAAAGGAAAGAAAGAAGAATAACGAAGCAGAGGACGAGTGAGGCGGGGCTGTTGCAGTCGCATTAGGCGCACGTTTATACATATACATGATAAAGAAGGAATAATGAAGGGCCGAGGGACAGAGAGAGAGGATAGATAGAACAGGGATTTAGTCCTTCTTTTGTAACTATTATTATTATTAATAACTATTATTGCTACTATCACGATTATGATACACTCCTTTCATTTCTCCGTTAAATATGTATATTATTATTATTATTATTATGATTATTGTTAAGAATTCAATAGTAGATACATGGAAAAAACGCCTATTGTGTATGTGCATACAGTCTATTCCTTTACTTTTTCTTTGTAGCAAGGTGAAATTAAGAGCGAACGTACCATATATGTATATAGACTAGAATACCATTATTAGTCGTAATATCATTATCGAATTAACCATAAATGATAGTATTACTATTCACAATGCTTCATCAAAAGCCGTTATAGCAATAATGATACGAATAATAGTAGTCATACGTAGGAAGACTAATATTAACAATTAGATGAGTGTGAAAAATACACGAACATAAAACAAACGTATGAGAACTGAGTGAAATGAAGGAAAAAGCCGCAATGCACGATGGAATTTGCTGCCTGATGTGACTCAATGTTACAGGTTTCAGTCACGAGTTGACATCAGTTAAAGAACCACTCGAAAACCTGGAACTACTGGACAACTGTTTCGTCCTAGTCTAGGAGTCTTCAGCAATATACCATCAACCACCAGGGTTCGAACCCAGATCCCTCCGGTCACAAGGCAATTTCGTAGAGTGGAAGATAAAGCTATGGGCTTTGAAATTTCAGTAGCAATGATGTGTTTTCGCCTTTTTTACAAGGTGGGATTGCTATATAACCTCACAGGTTCAACCTTCCCTCTTTATCAAGCAGCTTACTACCAACCGGCTAAGCAGAGTGGTTTGGTAGTGCAGCGTCTGTCGGGAATTAAACTCCGGACCACTCTAAAGGCGTGGTTGGCAAACATCTTAACCGCTGCAGTTTCGACGCACCAATTCGAAACTATATAATCACATATTAAAAAATGTATTTAATATTTGCTTGCTGTGTTTTTCTGAATAAATTCAAATTGAGCGTTAGTGGTTAAAAAAAAAGATAATTCTTCGATTATAGAATTTTCTGTGTCATGTCAGCATCGTTATCATTATTATCAGGGGAAGTTAGTTAACGGAAAAATGGAATAAAGAAAGAAAGAAAGAAAGGAAGGAAGCTATTGAAGAGATTCACTCAAGTGCAAATTTTCTTAAGAACTTTTACTCTCTTTATCTATTCGACGGATATACAGTAGAACTGATCACTAGGGTGGGTGGGTTGAGAAACATAATCACCACTGGTTCCATCTTCACATTCAGACACTAAAAATAAAAGACGAAAGAGGTAGGGCTTTCTAATAACGTATATACAACCAACAAGCAGCAATACCCGAGGCAGTCATCTTTTTTCCTTTCTCTTCTCATCCCTTTATGTTCTGAGTAGAGAGTGAGTTTTGGAGTTTCAGTAGAAACAGTGATGTCCTTTATCTTTACGAGCCATACGACCACCGGTTAAAGTTAGGCTTAAGAGAGTACGGTGTCAGTGGGGATTCAAACTCGGACTACACATGAGACCTGGTTGGCGGGCATTCTATCAGTGAACCACTCGATACACACGGGAAGTAAACGGGAGCATACACAATTAACAAGCATTTACATAAAAAAACAAAAACAAAATATATAAATAATACGCTTAAATATGAAAACGAATAACATAATTTAAAGGGAAAAAAGAATAACCATTTAAAACGAATAGTAACAATAGGAATACAACAATCGAACTTACTAAACCCGTTGACTCTTTAACGGTGTCATTATGATTATTATCATTATTATGAGAATTAGAAAATCCAGAGAAGTGACCAGATAGATTGTAATCAATATTAGAATTTCGCATATTTAATGAATTATTATTATTATGACTATTTGCAAAATATAATGATCTTTCAAAATGTGACGACTCTCTTTGTAATCGTGTGAGTAACTCTTCATCGTTCGATTGATGATGCAATGGATGTTTTTGACTGAAATTATTATTATTATTTTGACGAGGATTATAATAATAAGGTTGATGTTGTTGCTGCTGGTGCTGTTGGTGGTGCTGATGATATGGAGAGAAATTGAAACCATTACTGACACCAGTGTTGTTAAAGCATCCACCACCAGGTGATATTGCTGACTGGAACCAATGTGAACCATTTGTACTACTGCCTCCACCTCCGCCTCCACTGCCTTCAGAACTTGCATAACCAGATGATGTAGATGATGAACTACCACCACCTCCACTTCCACTGGTTTGTACACCTGGTGTACCACCAGTTGGCCAAAATGATGAATTAATTCCAGTTGGATGCATATTCCATACAGATGAAGTTGGCTTAATTATAGACGATAAGGATAACGATGATGTTGATGCTGTTGATGATGATGTAGGGGAGGAGTAGGAGGAGGATGGTGAACTTGTTGTTAAATAAGATGATGATGATGATGCTGCTGGTGATGTAGCACAGGAGACAGCGTTAACAGCTGCCATAGCAGCAGCAATTGCTGCTGGATAACCAGGTAGAAAGTAACTAGCCAAACGTGGATCAGTTGGAAATGGCATTTTGAATACTAAGGGGATACCAAACAACAACAACAACAAGAAAAACAGAAAATACATCAAATGATTACACAGTATGCAAAAAATAAAATTACAAAAATATTCATGACAAGTAACCATTTCTTCTAAATTATTATTCCCAGATGTCAAAGTATTTATGTTGTAATAGGCAGTCAGTGAAATTGTGTAAAGACCCTCAGCCACGGAGTCAGTTAGAGGTATATGCTCAGAAAAAGTAACTGACGATGAATTAAGCATTGCATATGATGCCTTGATTGAAAAAGCAGCTATTCCGACAAATCTATCAAGAAACATATGACCAAGAAAGCAGAAAAGGACTACTCACTGTCTGTAAACAAGAAGCCTTTACATATACGACTACAATTCATGGGCGATATGACAAGCGAGATAATTACGGAGAAATTAAGATAATCAGTTCAAAGAACTTTTAATGCTAGAGAACTAAACATCTGATTCTCTACACGACCGATGGTGATTCCTCGACTGAAAGATGAAGTACTTAGACTAGCTAGCCACTTCTAATTGTATCTACAAATTCAACTGCACTTATGGAGTGAGTTATATCGGCCGTTGCTCTTGGAACTTGATTTTTCGTGCTTGAGAACATCTCCAAGTATGGATAAGTAAAGGTATAGTTAAAAACATTAACAGTTCGATATTGGACCATCTGGCCACAAAGCCAGCATTGAAGAATCCTTCTCTATCATCTCTCGGCTGATAAACAGTAGAGGCTAATGCAGTTCACCTTAAACAACAAGTACTCTTTGTTCAAAAGAAGCAAGTCAGGCCAGTCGCTACTACTACCTTGCCCTGGCCTTCAGTAGAGACTATAAATTCATGAATTTGTATTGTTATCTTTCCTCATTTTTCTGACATTCAGCTTATTTTATGGTGATGCTATTGAACTGTATTCTATTGATATTATTGATTCGATGTTATTTAAACAACATTAATGTTGTTCATAACACTAATTCATTTATTCACTATAATGTGTATATATAACTGTACAGCCTGATGATGAAGTTATCGAAAAGAGTATTCCTTGTTCAGTATCCATTCTTTTGAAAATATATTGCTTGGAGGTGTAGACTAGTTGGTTAGGGTCTTCAGGATTCTAAGAACCAATGACGGCTGGAGACAATTGATGATATGGCTCAAAATCTTTGACAATGGCGTAGATGCATTCAATCTTTTTGATTTGCCATATCCAATAAAACCCTTCTGTCTTACATTTCTTCTTCTTATCGTCCTTTTGAATCTCTTTTCATCTCTCTCTCTCTTTTGTCTTCCTTAGTGTCCACTATCACAGAGTGTGGAAACTGGAAACTGCTATGCTACAACACTTCTGTGATAAGTTCAACGTTGAAACCAGTTAGTGTTGGTCAGCTTAAATCATTTTTTTTTCAAAAAACACAAATTGAATGTATGTAGACCACAATAAATTGCTTTAAGTGACTTTTCTTCGAAAGAATTCGGCACAAAAGAAACAAACAATTATCATCGAAAAATTATTGTACAAATCTCTGAATAAATCAATGTAATGCAGAATACACTTTAGATGGAAAGTAAACGTCTCTTTCAAGGGATCTAGGCTAACAATACTAAGATTCAATTCACTTCAGTGAAAGTCTATATCTCTACATCAAGTGGACAGGGAAGGATAGGAACGACGAAGAAGAGGAAGATGATGAAAACAAGATGGAAATCAAGGGATTCATAAAGAATCGTAGAATGTTATAAAAAACCACAAAGGAGGTGGCATTCTACTTTACAGTTAGAATCAATAAAAAAAAAATAAGGCATGATTGTATCTAGAACGTGCTACAATGAAATGGTCAAATACATATAACTGTCTATAATTTCGAAACGCTGTTTCTCTAAGCAGAGCGAGAGAGAGGGACAAGGACTAGCATCACGAAGAAGGTAATCTCACGAGGTAACTTTACTTGGCCAAGGATTCGTGTATGTAGCCACCACGCCTTCGAAATTTAAAAAAATTACACCAAACCTACCCTACGATTATTCAAGTTACTAGGGGATATGTATGTGGGGAATAGTAAGGATTGAATGGACCTCAAAGATTACAAAGAACAATTTTGAGCCATATCGCCGAAAACAGTCTCAAGCATTTGGTTCTAAGAGTCTGGAAGACCTCTACAACGTAGTCTAAACTGTTGTACATAGCTCTGACCAACAGATAAATTCTTCATGGATTGAACCCATGTTTTGGTTTGATCAACTATAACTGTCTTCCAGACTTAACTGATGTTAACTAACATTACACAACCTCATTGATCAACTTTCCCTACTTAACTAATACCTCAATATTATTCACTACATAGTACCCCGTAACATGGCAGATAGGTCCAAAGCATCTGTGGCCAGAGACAACTAGCCACTTTAAGTATTGTACTTTCGATGGCCATTTTTCACATTCATAAAGAATGATAGAGAGAACTGGCGCACAATACACACGTCCTTTTACCGATATCATGTCTAAACGAATTGTTTTCCCTATTAATTCACAGTTCATTACATAGTTACAGAACCTAGCAGATGTTGAAGTAGTTCAGTGACTTGAAAGATTGTACGGGGAGGTGCTGTTTCAGAAACTTCACACATTTATTCAATGCTTATTTGTAGCTGATTGGACAAAAACTATTGAAATTTAAGTATAGTCCATTCCATGTGGATTTTCGTCTAATGGATCTTCCAAGCGCTGTATAGCACACTAGTATGTATGAAGTTTCTGAAACAGATCCTGAGGTATTGTCTACCATACACTGAAAATCTTTCATCTACAAGACACATAAACATAAGGGCACTGGGTTTGAGCCTCGGTGGAAACATCATCACTCACTGGGAAATGCAGGTACATCCAGTTGATGAGTCCTAAATAGGACGAAATGTGCATCCTGGATTCTACTGCTATTTCCCATCCACAAATTAAACACATAAACATGTCCTATATTATTAAATATGTGCATTTCACCAGTAGATTGCACAAGACTACTATTACTATTACTGCTATTCTTATAACATTCCTATTTCTTCTGCTTTCTGCTACAAGTGTGTTAACTAACTACTACTACTACTACTAATACTGGTCAACAGGAATTCGTATCTCTTTGTTTGTAATGAGTTTTTTCCTCACTTCGCTTCACTTTACTTTTCTATTTCTCTCTCTCTCTTTTTCTCTTTCTTATTTTTTCACTTTTTCTCATCAACACCATTTTTAGTTGAAATCCCATTGATTGAAAACAGGAGCGGTGGTAATGACACGAAGGGTGGGGTGGGGTAGACGGAGTTTGTGGAGGTAGAACAAAGACTGCTGAAATACACAAGTTCCCAACGTACTCTGTTCTATCTACTAGAGGTAACTCTAACACCATCACGTTGTTTTTTATCATTACAACAAAAAAAATTGTGAAGAAAGAAAGAGGTTTTAAAAATGACTGTGTCAATGTAAACTATCATTATTATTATTATATGCATATATAAGTAACACAGTGGAAGTTGTAGGCTTCTAACAGATAATAGTAGTAGTAGTAATAATAATAATAGTAATAGTACTAATAATTACCGACATAATATATTACTTTTAAAGGATAGCAAAGACACAAAGAGGAAAACATACAGTGTTAAAAATCAGAAAAAAGAGACTATCCGTCTTGATTAATGCTTAGCCGCCTGTGGTACACACAATACAACCGCGCGCGCGAGCTACCGTCCGCTTGTGTGAGTGTGCGTGTGTGTGTGTGCGCATGCGCTCGCGTGAATGTTGTCTGTACATACAAGCGCGTATAGAGGTATAGTCAACTGCCAATAGTACTTACTAGTGTATTACTGTTACTTCTGGGTATTATTACACTTTCTGTATATATATACATTATAACAGAATACTCATTATATCGTATCATATGATGATAGTTATATATATGTATATGAAATTACTCTTTACTGTTGACATTTTATAACCAAAACACTGGAAGACTTTACATTGTGTTGAGTAAAAACTATCCGATGGAATATACAGTTGCCTTTCTACTCTTCGAAAGAAGTTAACACATTTATAATAAAATGTAAATTTAGCTTGTATGCTATTCCAAGTAACATTGTAGAAAAATGTATTTTATTTTGTTCATATCCTGACTATCTATCTGTTCCACTACGGGTGAACATACATACATGAATACATAGAAGGATTTAGAAAAAGTGATTCTTATCCCGCGTAACCAACATTGGCATAAGTATGCAAAGTATTGGAGAAATTTCAGATTAATAGGAGTTAGAAGTGTAAAGAATTATGGTGGGAATGATCACTACTATTCGGAGTGAAGCTCAAGTGGTCATTTCCAATTCATTCACGTCCTCACTTGAGTGTCAGCCTGTTGTGCAACGTCGTCATCCAACGGTGTCCTCAGAGTCTGTATCCAAACTATATCTTTGTCTACTACGGCATATTTGTTGGGGAAATATTAAGTTCTTGGTCAACTTAGTTGTCTACCACAGAATTCTTTGTGCTGCTAATCCTTCCTGTCTATTATTATTATTGGCCTACTCAGCGAGTGTTCAATCCATCTCCACTTTCTCCTGCATATTTGTTGGGTGGCGATTGGTTCTTGTTTTGTTGGTTCCCATAGTTTCTTGTTTGTGATTCTTTCCGGCCATCTGATCTTCAGTATAGAGCGAAGACAGTTGTTGATAAAAATCTGCAACAGGGTGTTGGAAATATTCTTTGACCCGCTAAGTTTCTGATCCGTATAGAACTGACTGACTTGACGTTTGTATTGAAAATCCGAATTTTGTTGTTGATGCTGAGTGGCGAAGATTTCCAGATTGGTTTCAGGTTGATGAATGTGTTTCTCGTCTTCCCGATCCTCGATTTGACATCCTCGTCCGTGCCATCTGCCTGTAGTTGAGACAATGCTCCCTAGATAAGTGAATGAAGTGACCTCTTTCAAATCCCTCCCGTTGATGGTGATTGGCG